ATATGCATGAATGTATTTGTGTATACAAGTGAATGTACATATATGCTATTATTGATGTGTTTGTGTATGTGCATGTTTATGTGTGTGTCTGCTTGATGTTTCATTATTATTAGCAACTTTCTTTCTTGCTATTATTACTGCTCAAGTAGTGAATGCACAGCAAACAGCAACGAATCGAGGTAACACAGAAGTCAATTATGGTTGATGTAATTTATTTGTGAGTTTGGTAAGAAATGATCAATTTCCGGTAATTCTTCTTATTTTATATTTTTTTTTTTTTTTTTTTTTATTATTATTTATTTGCAAAAAATTACACTCAATGATTATTAAATTATTGAGAAAATATTTCAACAATTTCTGTCCTTCTTTTATTTATGCCTTATGGGAGAAGAAAAATCTTACGCAAATCAAATAGAATTAAATATCATTTGCAATTGCTTGTGCTGTTCGTTACTTTGCGCATTGCTGGCAAATTCAATAAACATCGATTTGAATAACAAATTTGAAGCAACAACTAAGAGCACATAAGAATGAATGATTAACGGCGATAGGATAGGATAGGATATTTTCCTAAATGAAAATCTTTCAGATTTCGTATGCCCAAGTCTTCCCTTCAAATACTATCAGAAAGATTTGTACAAAGTAAAAACAAAAGAACAACAAGTTGTCTCTGCATTTTTGCTTTTCGTTAGGGTCAACTTAATTTTTAAAGCCAACTGCACTCGGTCTTCGCTAGGCTCGCTTACGTAATAAATAAAAGTAATTCTTTATATTGAATATCGTCTCGTTAATGTAATTAATGCAATAATTTTTTCTCTTTTATTCTCTTTTAACATCTAACGGCATATATTTCTATTTATTTATTTATTTATTTATTGTGTATATACTGTGTACATGAATTTACAAATTATGAATTTTAAAAGCTGACGAATAATTTGGATCATACGCTTGCCTGAATCGAAAGCTCTAACGCGCTTGAGATTTAAATCCGCGACCATTGAGTTGCTGATCGCAATGTTTTGCTTCCTCGGCTACTTATGCTGATTGGCGGCAAGGCGTATTTGTATTTTTATTTAAATATGTCCCCCAATTTTTCCCCCCCCCCCCCCCCCCGCCCATTCCTCTTAGGGTAATAAATTACGGGATAAGGCGACTCTTACAGCCTGAAAAGAAACATTTCTCTCTGTTCATTTATAACCTGAATTTTGTTGCTGTTATTGTTGAAAAAACAAATTTTTAAACTCAAAGTGCAATATTTCTTTAATTCCACGCCTACCAGCGCAAGGTGAAATAACCTGAATTATTTCTGTTCCTCAGAGATATATCTTGAAGATTTTGTACGATTTCGGGTAAAATTTTTTCCTTCATTGGTTCTTATCCGTCTCTCCGTCCGTCTGTCTGTCTGTCCGTCTATCCGTCTTGGTTCTGTTTCTTCTTGTAACGTTAATGGGCGTAAAAGTGTCACTTAAAAAAAGTTTGTTATATAAAATCTTAATTAATGACGGCACAGATAAGTCCAGATTATTAACTAACACTAAGCAAAAAACTATTAGTTGCATACCATTCTATAATGTACAATATGTGGTCTAAAAATTGGTACAAAAACTTATGAAAATCACCTCAAGCATTAATGAGGGAACTGGTGCCTTAATAAAAAACTATAACCTACAGCGAAAGGAAATTTTAACAAAAAAAAAAAAAATTTCAAGTTTTAATTTTTCCTAATCGGACTAGACATAATATATCGCTCAAAACGTTCGTGGGATAGCATATAGGTGTAGGGTGACTGTTGATCAATTCCTACGATTGTGAACGAAATCTATGAAAACTGCATAGCATTGTCATCACGCAGTTGTTTCACTGACGCTGCACATAAAATTCGGATTTTCTCTATTGTGTGACGAAAACTAGAACAGCATTTGAAGGTTGGTACTAACTAAAAATCATATGGAACCTCCTCTCCTCCTACGAATTTATTGAGCAAAAGTACTGCATTTCCCTAAATGCGTTACGTACTTATCAAATGTTAGCTTGTTAGCTTGCTATTGGGTACAAAGAGGAGTACAAGGTTTTCACTCAAACGCGAGACATTCTTCCGGCAACCACTTAACAGGCTTCTGTATAAAATTTCATGGCAATTCGTTCAATAATCGGTAAGGTATCGTTATTTAAATTAGTGTTAAACAAGTAGAGACGCTATAGTGGGTTAGGTCTCAACATATATATCTTAAAAATTACGATCCTCAGATTGAAGGCAAAAATACATGAACAGATATCAGACAGATAGATGGGCAGACAACCTTAGATCGATTCAGAAAATGGTTCTGATCCGATTCGTATAATAAGAAGTGGATCTATCCTAATCCTTCCTTCATGAATGCGCACTAACTCAGCATGCTCTGTACCACATGTAGTGTACGATATAAGAATTTTCTAATTTACCAAAGACTAGATTGACTATATTGTTTCAAGATTTTGATTAACAATACTAGATGACAAGAGCTTCTTTTTCACACGCGAAATTACTTAAGTCAAAAAAATGTGAGTTTTGTTCAGTAACAGTCAAAGCGATTTAAATTTGAGATTTCCAATAAAAAGATGCCACCGCAACGCGCCCTCACCAATTAGGGTTCAAATAAGATATACCTGCGCTCTACCGCGCCGGGAATCGAACCTAGATATTCAAAGCATTTACCAGATGTCTTAATCAGTAGACAACACGGTATCGAATCCCTGTTAATCAAATTCTCTTACTTCTTTTAAAATAAAAAAGAAAACGAACAGATCATTCCGAATTTGAAAGAATGACTGAAACTGATACACATTAATCCAAAAAAAAAAGAAAAAAAAAAAACAGTTACTATGACTTGGAATAATTCCTTACTCAAACCCATTAAAAAAAAAAAGAAAAAAAAAATTATATTAATTAGATTTCGAACCTGTGACCTTAACAGTGTTTGAGATTGCCAGTTGCTCAATATGACAAGCAATAAATGAGAATTAGGCAATCATGAATGCGTACTTCCTGCGCACATATAGATTTCATCCATCTATTTTACTGTATATAAGCTTTTTTTCGTATAACTTTATTTATTTACCTATGCTTAGTTAATGTTTACTCATAGGATAAAAATATATTTATAATCAAGTTCGTTCTTATTTAATAGCATTAATAGTTGAGTGTTTTGAAATTAATTCGTATTAACACTCATGTCAACTATTTTCGAATTATTTTTAGAAAACTGTTAAGCACTAATTTAAAGTTTTTTAATTTTTTAATTTTATAGTGTCTTGCGGTGACACTTAAAATGCAACTCAAGCCATTGGAAAGTCTTACATGAGAATATGCGGGCATTTCTTTCCATGTGTAAAACAAAAAAATAAGCGTCAAATGTCTCTTTTATATATATATATATATATATATTGTCAGTTACTGTGAAATCATCACTTCATTTGTGATTATAAGCTTTCAGATGACCGAGCATTTAAATAGAAACGTAAACTCTGATGAATTCTTGTGGGCATTGAAAATATGGCTGATTCCACCTATAATCTTGGAAAACAAGATAAAATTAAGATAATTTGGCGGCTTGGATGGAATCTTTTAATACCCAACTCAAGTTTATTTGTACATTCTGCCACATATTTCTCAAATTATTCTTTGTACAACTGTTTAGCAACAAACTCAAATCAATATATTTACGTACTACATCTTATTTATAATAATATTATTATTATTATTATTATTATTTATTAATTTAGCCAAAGAATAAATTGTAAGACTAAAGTCTTAAAAGCTCTCTAAAGTCTTAAGGCTCTTTCGGCTTTATTAAAAACTTCACCGCACTTGAGATTTGAACCCACAACCATTGAGTTGCTAGTCCAGACTCTTGCCTATTCGGCCACCCAGACGGATTATTTGTATTATAAATCAACTTTTGTTCATTATTTAACCGCTTACTTTTGAATTCATTTTAGTTGATAATGTTCGAATTTTAAGAACTCTACAAAGTCGAAGCCATAACTTGAAAGAAGAAGAACGAAAATCATCAATATTTTGATATTTGTGATGATGGTAATGAACAGATTTTATACGCGTTAACTAGGGAGAGTGATAAGAAGTCGTTGAAGCTGACAACTTTCACAACACTTCAAGGATCCTTTATCAAAATAAGTAATAACAAGCAAAAAGTAATCAATCAGAACTATAAAAAATTCAGCCCCATTTTAAAAATGAATACGTATTACTATCATTAGAATTAACTGCCAACTAATCGCATTTGTTCTTTTTTTCTTCATTGTTTTCTTCATTGTTTTAACAAATAATTAAAATTTTCTTTTTTTTATTGTTTTTGTTTCATATTCATAATATTATGGAAATTATACAACACTTTACGCCAAAAGGAAAAACATATGTTATTATTGTTGTAATTTATTTAGACCAAAGAAATAAATCCTCAGATTAAGAGTAAGGTGAGTATTAGCAACCAAGATTATCGGCTTTTTAGAAAATGATTGTTAAAATTTCTCTTTCCCTCTCTCTCTCTCTCTCCGTCTATTTCCACGAATATGAATTGCAATATGAATGAAAGATATATGTCGCTGACGATTTCGTAGAGATTTTTAAAAGTAAAAGCAAAAATTATAAATTAATTTTGAAACTTTAGACTTAAATTATTCATTCAATTTAAAATAAATACAAAATGTATACATAACTTAATTTAAATGACACTACGTTACATGGATGTATTAGAAAGGGACCTATAACATTTCAATTTTTCATTATGTAATAAAAACCAATTTCATAAAGTGCAATAATGGAATGGAACAAAATCGAATATTACAATTGAAGAAAGATTACTGCATTTGCTAACATAATACAAAGGCAGAATGGTATATATTTTCCATTAAAAATTCTTTAGCTGTTTTTTGCATTAAACAAAATTGTTTAATTTGCATTTCAAGCTGATTTCTTTTATAATTCGTCATTTTTGAGAAATGTTACCGAATTTTGCAACGCTTTATATATAAGTTCAATTTCCTTCCTAAAGATTTCTTAAAACTAAAACAGCTGTTTTGGTAAAAGCACAAAAGAAGAGCAAATAGTAATCATTTAATTGCAGTAAATAAGTAAAAATATTCATATAAATTCCAATTTTGACGGAAAAAAAATTAAAGCGTATAAACGAAGATGACTACTGCTGCAAGGCCAACATTTGATCCAGCACGTGGCGGTAGCGGAAGAGGTGAAAAGGATTTGAGCGCTTTGAGTAAACAATTTTCTAGCCGTGATTTACCGGGCCACACGAAATTAAAATACAGGTAAATCGAATTGTGGAAAATGAACAAATACAATTTAGATCTATTTTACCTCTCTCTTTAGGGAATCCGGTCAAGGCACTGCCGACGAACTACGCAATCGTGATTTTCGCAAAGAATTGGAAGAACGCGAACGTGAAGCGCGTCCTAATAAAAATCTACCCTCTATAGTGCGTAAAGCCATTGAAGCGAATAATTCTGGCAGCAGCACTAGCAAAAGACCAAAACTTGACCAAACTCCTGTTAATTTAGATGCGGATGATCCCGTCGAGAATGATACTTCAGACAGTGATGCCGATTCTGACGAAGATGATGATGCTGCATTAATAGCGGAGTTGCATAAAATTAAACAGGAACGAATGCAAGAAAACGCACGCAAAGAACAAGAAAGAAAGCAAGAAGAGGAACGAATACGCATGGAAAACATCTTATCTGGTAATCCTTTGATAAACTACGCATCTGGAGCAGCTAATGCTGCCAGTGCCAAGGTACCAAATGTAGACCTCAAAGTAAAACGACGTTGGGATGATGACGTGGTATTTAAAAATTGTGCTCGTACTGAACCAGAGAAGAAATCACTCTTTATCAATGATTCCTTACGTAGTGAATTTCATAAAAAATTTATGGAAAAATATATAAAATAATGAGTGAAAATAAATAATAAGATTAACAAACAAGATGAACTTTGGAAACATTCGGTTGTGACCGAATAATCTCACGACGATCCTAACAAAAAAGGAAAAGACCAAAATTTTCATACCCTACTACAATGGGTAGACGCGACTGATTTTTTCTATTTTCAAAATAAAAATGAAAACATATACGGAGTATATGTTGTATCTTATGAGTAGCAAGTCAAAACCACGGAAAACTAAAGTGTTCTCTGCTTTTCGCAATAATTCTTTTTTTTCGCAATTTTTGATATATAATATGCAATCAAGTAAAATTTGTTTCCAAATCATGTTCAGAAAATGCAAACAAAAATTTTAAGTATTATTTTCTAAGTTCTTTATATTATATTTCAAACTTACAAAAAACGCATTACCTAAACCCTTCTAAAATGCCCTTCACGGAAGACACCGTTGCGGTGTGACCGCTTTTCTTCAAGTGTAAAGTTGGTTTATTTACGAATTTATGAGAATATAACAATCTGTGTAATGTATTAGTAAAAAAGTCGGTAACGACTCGGTGAATTGGAATATAAAAAATTGCTATTAAAATACTTCAAATCTCAGCTATCTAGTCAACAGCATTAACGTGCACTTTTATGTTAAAAATCACATCCCCTTCTTTTGTCTTTGAATTTCTTACTTTACTCTCTTCTGACGACTTTCATTTTAACGATTTATATAAGCATAAAAATCGTCAATCGCTGTCGTAATCGACCAAATTTTAAGAATAGCAAAATAGACATCGTTTCAATTATGTGCGCATCTAGCTTTTTTTATTTCAACGCTCAGTCAGCGCTCAAGGAGACAAAAAAGAGAAAACATCAATTCATATAGCAATATATAAAAATTTGTAGTGTTGTTAGTTGTGGGAGTGACTGAATGTATATGCTTTTAAAGAATTCAAAATAAGAAATTTATTGAAAAATATACATATTTGCACAAAAAATGCTATAATATCTACGAGACTTTATGAAACATCTTTTCTTCGTCATTTCGTTCTTTCGATGTAATTTAAGAATAGCTCAGGTTTTCTTCTTTTTTAATTGTTTATTCATTTAGAATGAATGATAGCAGCGAGAACGATATTGAGAATCTTATATTATAACAACCATCGTGTTTACTGCCGTGATAAAATATGGTGTTTTATAAGGTAACGACATCTGTAATTGACTTCATTAAATAGTTAAAAATTGTATTGACCTCCTTCTTCCTTAACTTCTACACGAACCAATATGATTAACAATTTTACTGTTGGCAATAATAAAAACAATACTTTCAGTTTAATGTGTAATTTTGCAAAAATATGGCAACTATAGCATTTTGCCAAAAAAAAAAGTTTTTGCGTAATTTAATGAATTCATTTCTTATATGCAGCGGATTACTTAAAAATTCATTGCTGCGCTATAATTTAGTGCTCAGGTCAAATAATTTCAAATTGACAAACGTTGTTACACAAGTGGTTACAAGTGAAAAGTTTATTGTAAACGAAATAATATTTTGTTTTTGTTTGCAAACAACAACATTTCGTTATCTATTAACTAAAGCAGCTGGTTCGAGAAGCTGTTTGGAGAAAAATTCAATTTTACTCAATATAAAATTAGTTGAATAATGTACTTGAAGCGGCGAATATCTTCTAATGGAAACTGAGGAAGGTGATTTCCGAGGTCTCCTTTAAAATAAAGGTATATAAGCATAAATTGGATAAAATACGAAAAACAAAGCGCTGCATTAGTACGAAAAGAGAAGAAGGTTTAATTTAACTATTTGATAACACCGCCAAAGTAAGAGGCGATATTAAAATTAAAGAAATTGATACGTGTTAACAACGCATTTAACTTTGCACTAAGCTTTTTCGTTTGTGAATTTAATAACTAAACAACCAACGCGATAAAAAGAAAAAAAAAAAACAAAAAACAAGAAAAAATAATAAAATTGCGAAATACTGAGATTTGTGTTGTGAAGAGTGCAGTTGACGCCCAAATTCGAAAAAAAATTGTAGTGTCATTAATTCAAATACCTTAAAACGTTTCTATTTCACCAAAGTGGAGAAGTGGAAACGGAGCCAACGAAACAATACCAACCCAATGGATCAGACGGGTAAGGGAGGTGGCAGCAGCGATGGAGGAAGCTCACTAACAGGCATTGATAAACCTCCTGTTTTAGAAGGTATGTTAATTATGTGTTTTTCTCCAGCAATTTTTCTAAATTCCATAGCAACCACTTTCGTATTATCAACTCTTATAGGAAAGGAATTCCATGCGAATGTAATACAAAAACAAAAAGCACAAAAAAAAATTCTCTAACAGAGACCTTTTTGTTGTATGTTGTGAATAATAAACGTTATTGAATTATATGGTAAATCTAATTTTTCGGCAAACAGAAGGATGTTGTAATAGCTTCACGACATTTAATTATCATAAATAAATTAGAAAATGCAATGAAAGGACTTTGAAGGCAAGGATTTCAATGGCGTGCAGTAATTCTACATGAAGTAATATTATGACAAAAAACAAAAAAAAAACAAAAGTAGTAAACCAGCGGCAACTATTAAACAGCATATCACTAGAAATTTCGACTTGAGAAAGCTGCGAAATCTTTTAATATCTTTGCATTCTTTCCAGCAAGGGCATAAGTATTGAAAAGTGTTTTATTAGATCATCCTGAGTTAGTGGGCCGATTAGAACGACTTTACATTAAAATTTTAAATGAGCTTAGTAGATCTTTATATGATTTTGAAAGTCTAATAACGGTTTTTTTGCAGGTAAATCAGATAAATTTTCAAATATGATCTTTTTTTATTAAACAGCAAAATGTATGAGAAGCTGTCAGATTTCTATTTCATTAAGAGTGCCCCTGGAAGCTTTAGAATGGACACACAGACAAAACAGACCTGAGGAATCTACTCACAGTTTGACGCTGATCGATATTTTACACATGTTGCAAGACTCTTAAATCGTGTCTCCAGATGTTGTTAATATCCGGCACAGCAGGCGCTGTGAGTCTATTGAAGGCTTATAGCGCATAGAAACACATAAAGGGCGACCCCCTTTGGCTTGAAGGAATGATCGAATGGAACTAAAGAGCTTTACGAAAATTATATGCAGAATACTTATAATCGTATTATGTACGCCAAAGATTTCGTATGTTTTCATGCTTTTTTCAAATTACTGTAAATGTGATCGGACTTGACGTAGACCATGTAAAGTCAATTCGTAATATAAGGCAAAGAACAATTTAGCGAAGATTTTGTTGCACTAGCAGTTTTTAAGGTTATAATGACCGGAATTATAGTTTACAATCTAAAAAAAAAATTTCCTATTTATGATTGACACAAACTTTGGAAAGTGCAAACCTACCTTCGAGGATCCTTTGCTGTAATCTTTTACTCATGTGATTAAATTTATGGTTCGAACGCGATTGCTTGTGAACGAGCAATGCTATCACGTATCAAATAATAAAATTGTTTCCCTTACATGGAATATAATGAACGTAGTCCTATCGTATATTGCTGAAGAAGAATGTGTGTCCATAGGTCTGGAAAACATATATGAAAGCAATAAAAGCCAACTTGGTGTTAATTATCATAAGAATAACTTACATAATTCTTTCCTTATTTTTTTTTTTTTTTTTTTTTGGTTTTTGTTTTTGTTCTATTGTATAACAATATTGATATTGTGTGTTTTCTTATTTTATGTTTTGCATGAAAGGTTTCGTTTATATGTGTAAAAAAAATGTTATTGTTGCAGTTACTACATACACTAATTTCGTTGTCTGCTTTGCAACCACTGGCCATGTGACTACAGGACTACACAACGCAAATTGGAAATTAATTCCGATACATCGATTTGTCCTGTTCGTCTTGCTTTTATAATCAAATTTAAGCAAGATATTCTAAAAAGATAGTTAAATTTAGTTTTCCATTATTGCTTCATGTTATGAAACAGAGCAAATCGCAAGACAACCAAGTTGAAATAGAAGCTTGTCTAAAATGCATGAACGGTATTGATGTACGCAAATTTGAGCTTTCCAATGCATTGCATCGATACTCGATGATCATGCAATAGCTAATCTTACCGTACGTGTGGTGAGGTTATATTAACTTTGTTCAAAAGGGCTTGCAACAGATCCGCCTTCCCTTATATCAATCGATTTGGTATAATTTTCTGAAACAATTTAAGCCAAACTGTTTGTCTATACGCCCTTTCTTACATATATCTAATATCAATGCATCAATGCATCTTTGAGCTTAACATAGAGGTCGCAAATTTTAATACATTTCGGTAAATCTTGATAATTATTGATGGATCTTGATCTAAGGGCGAAACCTGTTGAAACTGGATCGAATTATTAAAATACGTTTCTTTATATGAAAGCAGTGTAATATCTCCCCCCAAAAATCAGTGAAAAATTGTATTTTATCATATTAAATGGAAGCGGACAATATGAAATGAGACGAAACCATTATTATATCCCCTCCGAACATAAGCTTTTTTATGAAACGGAATCAACCAACAAACCATAACTTTTAGTATCTGATGATGTTGAACACTGGTGTGTAATTGAAACTAGTTTGTCATAGATATTTACTGGACTACATTTAGACCGCACTGGTCCATTTTTCGAACACCTTCTACACATTGATCGGTAAGGAATGTAAACTTGTATATCGTAATTAGGTAGAGTTTTTGAAATTCTATTAAAGGAAGTAAGTGCTATATAGAGTAATTTTTTGAAGATAACGTAAGCGGATGATGTAGTAATGGCAGCGGCAAGTAAGCCAAGCTACTCTCAAACCTTTTTTTTTTTTGATTGCAAATAAATGATTTTAAAAATATTAGTTAATATTTAAAATTATTGAGCCTCAATACAATTATTCACTTAAGAGATACTTTGAAATTTCTTGAGCATGACGAAGAAGGTCCAAGTGCTCTAACAAAGACTTTCTCGCTCGAATGAATCTCCGCTGAGAAGTCGAAACCTAATGTCTTGTCTAAAGATATCCACCTCTTCCATTAGAGCGTTATGTTCGTTTAAGAAAATTTCAAAATAGAAACATGCTCACCATGAGAATGAGAGCGGTACTTACGAACTCTTCTCTGGAATTATAAATTTCTTGCGTTTTCATCTATCATTTTGCAATCTATAGAATATAGAACTTACGAATATTGTCTTGGGTAAATGTGGAGGAAATTTTCGAAATGTTCTGAGGATATTTGGTACACTAACGTGTTTTGGCCTAAGAACGAAAGCTATTAGAAAATATTCCGAATCGGACCACTTTTTGACTACTTGCCACATACGACTTATCAAAATAAATCGTGATAAGAAAAAAATATTGTAATTTTTAAGAATTTCGCAACAAAGATTGTGTGACAGCGATTTTTTGAGCCCCATCCCCCCCCCCCCCATATAAACGCCTCTACAAAAACTGAAACCTTCTATGGTAATGAGGCTTAATTTTTTTAATAGTTCTTGATGAAAATTCCTTCATAATAATAATTTGACATAAAAATAAACCTTACCAAATTTGGACCATGGACCCATACACGAGTTCTAATAAAAAAAAAAAAAATTTTTTATATGCCAACATCTACTATAATTTTTACTATATTTTGATGGAAATTGGTCTACCATATGAAATTTGAATGATATATAGATGCCTTTGTTTAGGCCGCGTCATATATATGGGGGCTCTGGTGAAATTAAACAGTTATGCAAGCGCTGACGTTTGAGTAACCTCCGATAGGAGGGCTTTCATCAAAATTATAGATATATATATAAAAGGAACGTTTAATTTTTGATGGCATTATTTGGTATAAGTGAAATAGTGTAGGATAGTTAATAGTCAGCTAGGTCCGATTATAGCATTCTTACTTGTTATAATATTGACATTGACATAAATGTTGGCCACGAAATTTTCTAGTAGCGCGTACTTGTTTCATCGGTGTAAACATGACTATATAATTATTTACACAGTTGTATGTGTATGCAGCATTTTGTATTATGCCAACGCCTGCACCGTTATTTATAGAAAACCATTAAAAGCTTATAAAGCGTTAATATCGTCATAACGTAAACAAGTTAGTAAGAAATTACATGAGGGTGGCTTTTTAATGCTCCGGTTAACCGAATAAAGGTATAAAATTTTCTATGCTTTTAAAGAAGAAGGACTAATTAATTACGCACACATACACGATTCGAAGTCATAATAACATTATTCTCTTCTCGTTTATATAAATAGCATTAATGCATGAATGCATTTGCTGAGCAACAGGTTGTCGAAAAAGTAATTCGGTTTTCTTAACAATAACAAAGTTGCACCTTAGGCATCGAAATTTCCGGAACGGAATCAAGCTAACCAGTCCTGGGCTCTTCTTTTACTCACAATATTCTTACCGTATACTTCACTGATTTTTTTTTTTGTCAGCGTTTCAATCTTTTTCATAATAAAAAAGCATTACATAGCGTATTTCTTCAGATATTTCACTTATTTTCAAGTCAGTATAGTTTTTTACACAAGCAAAGTATTAGAAGGCAATTTTTTCAAGAAATGTAAGCTGAAATGTCACCTGTTAAGCACATGTTCGTTTGAGGTGAATGTTCAGGTGAATGTTGCCCGATATCAACGCCATTCCGTGTAAAAAAACGCGAAGACTTTTTATATTACCTAACGCTTCTTACTATTCAAGTGAGCACAAATCGCAATTCACGTTATCAGTGAGTTGATAGTACTGCGTTATATCTACGGCTAGTGCGTGAACACTCCGCTATTGCTAAAGGGCGACATTTTTGTAAAAGATGTGAAATTATATTTAAATCTAACTACCAAAGACACAAACTAACATTTTTTTTTTGCAGAGTTATGTAAAGCCGGTAACAGAATTCTGTTAAACGAAGTCTCGGAAGGATTTAACTCAACATACAAGTAAATTAGAACTTCTCGAGAATATTTTTTTGCAAAATATTATAAACAAAACATGTCCTTGAAAAAAAAAAAAAAATTTATCGCTCACGTAATGTACTAGAATTGCTATAATTCCAATAAGGCTGACATCACATAAAATTATCGCACTATAAATTCGCCAATTTGTTGTTGTTGCTCCAATCCACAATTTGCTTCAACAACGTCCTTTCGTGTCCTTTGCTTGAATTAAAATGAAGTTGGG